GAAGACAGTGTACATTGCACGAAGAACACGGTACTCAGCTGAAGTTTCTAGCGTCAGTGGCATATGACATGAATGGCATTTAGAAGTGATACACAAAAAGGGAAATCTTTCAGGATGTCACCTTCTATAATATGAGGAGCGTGACGTTTCTGCACATGGAATAGGCTGTCAATCGGACTCTAAAACAAATATATCTAGACGCAAGTCTATAATAGTTAGTAAGTCTAGAAAATTAAAATTTCAAAAATATTCTCTGGGTTTCATTTAGTCATATTTTATGAAGATAATTCAAAAAGTTTACTTCGGTAAAAATATTTTCACTTCAGAGCCTAGACGTCTGTCTGCATATGGCATACAACGTATATGAAGGCTGCTACATCATACACATGTATACAACTACATGAAGCATGGGTAGCATCGTGCATCTTGTCTGCAGTAGTGTCCCATCGAAATACATACATGCTCTAACGGTGACAATGATTTAGCAAACCACTCTTCTTTTACTCAACAAAAATCGTTTGACATGTACTGCACGAATAAACAGAACAGATTATATTTGTTTCGGTAGATAGTGTACATTCCCTAAAGCATAAAGTACTATATTGTAACAATGCGATATACCCGTAAAATGCAACTGTTGCTTCATTAGACTAACGCTTAGTCCCTGAATATATATCATTTTCTTAGAGTGACAAATACACCCATTTGAATTGAAAAGGAGACCCAGTGAGTTGGGAGATTCAGGGTGACCAGAGATTCCCTGAACCTGGAGAAATTTAGACTTGCTTCATTTAGGGCTTTAGCATTGCAGGGGAGGGTTTGGCATTTGGGAAAATAATGTGAAAATAACGGTTACTTCGTATGAAACTACACCTTGTCAGTATCCAATGAATAACAACTGACAAATATGAGGTGGGCTTTGGGCTCATAATTAATAATACTTAATATGTAGCATAAATATTTCAAAATGCATAATGGTATAATTAACATGAATTTCGGAGGAATGGTGAAATATTACAGTTTTCTTAACTGCTTAGTTTTTGGTAAATACAGATATTTTCTTTTATAAGATTCTTTGTGAGTTAAGCTAGTGGTTACAATGTGTGTATATTTACATATAGTTTATTTCATCGTCTTTTCTTTGATTTGCCCAACCACACTGGCACCATTGACTAGAAGCTCCTGACACTAAAACCTGATACCCCTTCATCTATAAAGTAGCCCTCACTTGGGATTTCATTAACCCCCAAAGTAAAAGATCGTTATTGCAGGAGCAGACACGAAGGCTATTTTGTACAGTAACCTAACACTTCCCTAAACCAGCTAGTTAGTGGAGGGCTGAGGTGGGCAAGTAATGACACCTTCACGAAGTGGGAGCACTTGGATTTAAGTAGGCGATGTTTCAAACGTGGTCACGACGTCGAAAGATGTTTCAGCCATCTCATCAAGAAATGACGACCGGTGGGGTGGGGGTGGAGGAGGGTGAACAAGTATCCATCTTTATATGCAGTCTTTTATACAAGCAAAAGCCGGAATAACAATCAACCCTCCCAATCCTTCAACCCCCCTGCCCGACCCCAAGGGACACTTCTCCACGCAAGCAGTGTACCTCCGTAGGGTTGCCAGCGCTAACGATCAAACCGGCTGAATATAACATACGCTCTATTAAACTTTCTTGGTGTACATGTGATTTGACTGCGACGCTCTTGACTGAATAACGTCTCACTCTCTCTGAGGACCGTGTTAACTAATCGCGCAACCGTGTCCCCATCCAAGAAGAAACGAGCGCCTTTTGACCCCTGTTGAGATTCAGGGGTTTGATTGAGGCTCCCCTCGGGTTCATAGCTTGACCAGATGCGCTCATATTCCCTCTGACGGTTGGACCTGGGATAAATGATGGAACGAAATTTGATGTTTTCAAGGCAAAACTGCATCCACTTTAAACTCCAGTCGTTCTACTATGCCAGCGTTGTTCTGCTCAATTTGAAAATATGTTTTGAAGTATGTGAGAAACGTTCCGTCTTTTGAGAATCAGCAGAAATGTCATTTGAAAAACTGATTATCCGGTGCTGTTTTGAAATGTTTCGAATCGTATTGCACCTGATAAGTTTGACGGAATGGAGGTTAAAACCGGAAAAAAATAAAGTGTAATTATAGCGTTGGTTATAAATCATCCTTCCGAACAGAGTTGATAAATCTGGCTGTTCCGGGTCAACTGCTGCATGTCACTGAATCGAAGTCAACTCCTGGTCTGTGGTTTTTAACAAGCTCAAATCTGTTGATACAATCACTAGACTTGGATATATCCCCAGCGGGTATTTTTTTAACGTTGCACAAAAAGTAGCAAATATTTGATAATTTGTGGTATTTTTTTCCTCTTGTCTTACCGTAGGGCTGATAACTAGCTTAGCGTGGATTTTCAGATAATGTTGAACATTGGCCTTGAACTCTGTCTAACTCAGGTCGATTTAAAATACACCAAGTGTATTGAATGAGGTGTACACGAGCATTGTTAATATCCATACATTAATATGTACTTTTTCTTTTTTTTTAGCAAATGATTGGAATCAAACATGTTAACGCTATGCAGTAATTTATATACGCTATATACGTTTTGAATTAGAGATGCCCAAACATGTACTGTTTTCAATAAAAATATCAAAAAGTAATGACAGTTAATACAGCATTATCTTCATGTAAGGAGGTATATACTAAAAACAAATCCATTTGAAAACTATATATATTTAAGGTGTGAAAAAGAAAACGTAAAAACATTTAATAATTTTTACTTTGATTGCTTTAATATTATTGTTTAGGAACTATCATTTTCAAAGAACAAACAGATGGGAAATATTACTTGTCCGCCAGAAATGACACATTGCTTTGAAAAGTTAGACAAGTATTTTCCGCTTAACTGGATCTAAGCCGATATTTAGTGTGTGGGAAACCCAGATATGACTCGACACACAACTTCCCGGAATGCCCAAATTACTGTGATGAAATGTCACGCATAATTTCTCAAAAATTCTAAACACTAAAAACCGCTTCATCTTCATATTTCTAATATGGCATTTGACAGGCTATTGGGCGATGTGTCAATCAAATCCCTCTGTCGTCGCCAGTGCATATTGTTTACCTCAAGCGTGCATGATCTCGCACGAGGAAAACGTGCAAACCCCGGGTCATGCGCTCCAAGACTAGCACCTCGCTAAATGACTTTTGACAGTTCAAATAAGAGATCACCCTCTAAATGGCTATACCACTAGCAGAAAAGAGAAGCTCTCTCGGTTTCAATGTGTGTGTCCCGAAGTTCCTTCCAACGGAGCCACAACTGACAGACTTCACCTTAAACGACGGACACTTTTTAAGTGGCCATTTTCAAGATTGTGAGATAATTGGAGATTATCGGTATAAGGCTGCTAAACGTTTCCGCGTCGGATTTCGAAAATAGTTTCAACGATGTTTAAAGTGAGATGCCACAATGACAGTAATGGTTTTTTGAATTTACACACTTTGCAAATCTAAATTCGTAAAATTATTTTAATACGATTTGAAATTTGAACGATTCTAACGTCCCTTTGTTAATTATATTCCATAACGAAACACGCTTTAAAAACATTGAAAAATTATATAGTGCAAATTGCCATTCATTTTTACAAAGCATAGAAACAATAAATTTGCTTTTCTTGTTTTGTAATATTTAACGTATTTAAACTATTTTAAGTACAACATTTAACAAATGTTTCCAGCCAAAATATCGCCAACTAAATTACTGAAGTAATAAACGAAAATGTCTAATATACGTAAACGGTAAATATGACTGTTTCTGAAAAGAAGGTAATCTTTCGATCAGGCTGTCAAAATTGGTTTGTAGGAAAGCACGATTTCAAGTCACCCGACAAAAAATGTTTCCCTGTCAACGTTGCTGAAACAGAAGCCGAGCTTATCGGGCAACAGCCAAATCCAGTTCATAAAATTGGCATTCTGTATCTCAATGAGATATAGTTAATTTTAAAGGTGTCTGTAGTTTGTCAAACGATATCTTATTCAGCTTAAATGTTTCCAAAGCGCCCCCTAATATTTATTACGTCCAAGAAGTAAACAAGCCACGCCCACCTCAGATACATGCACCTTAAATCAAACATAAAGGTCTAAATTAACGTCACAATTTTGTTTCTGGAGCAAATCTTCAGTCAGCATTTATATAATCCGTCGTTGTGGGAAAAGCAGTATATTCCGTTGGAAATATACGTTGCACTATTAGAGCCAAGCACGAAGCTCTCGCTTTCTACATCTGGTTGCGATTATCATTTAAAATATATTACCGAGTATTCTCATTTCATCAGTGAAAATAACTCTCGCAAATAACACCACGTGTTAATTCAAGGAGAAAATGGAACTTCAAAATTAGTGTTGTTCTCGGGACAACTTCTCGTGAGAAAAAAACAAAGGACTTGTAAAAGGTTTAATTTTTCTAAGGTTCATTGAATGCACCACTGGTCACAGTTGCTGGAGTCAACGCCCAATTATCCTTCTTTTCTACTCAATCGTTTTTACATAATTCACCCATCTACATCAACTAGCCAATTAGTCATTCAGGAATGGAAAAACTGTTCTATTGAAAAGATATTTTCGCGACAAAAAAGCTCCAGAAAAATCGATTTTCATTTAAAGCAAAGGTTTCGTGATATCGAATGTTCAAGTAACGCATGCAATGGTCATCAATGTGCAAAATTACCTATGTTACAGAATAAATATTAGCCTATTATACAAATTTCCGTTTAAAACAATTATTCTACAATTAGCTTTCTCGAGAATGCATTACAGTGGGCGGTCCACGATCTGTTTCAACTGTTATAATTTATTACCAATCCTACAACAAAACAATTCGTAGCAATCTGTCCCATTACTTACCTATTGTGATCATAGTATAGTTTCATCATGTCGACATAAAGAATTTGGACATAAGCCCATGTAGTTGTTGTGTACGTATAACTTACCATGTAGTCGGAACCACTGCTTGAAGATCCGGCGTCGTTACAGTTGTCGTCGCCCCTTGGTATCCTACTTCCGTGAAGCAGTTCCTCTAAACTTTCAATATATTCTATAGCGTTTCTCAGAATTTCAACTTTTGGTAGTCTCTGATTCGGATTTGGGCACGTCCGTCTTTTAAGAGTGTCAAACGCTTCGTTCACTTTCCGTAACCGACGTCGTTCCCGCATCGTCGCCGCCTTCCGTCTGTCAATTGTCACCGTCTTCTTCTTACACGCTTTGCAGGCCCAAAGGAGACACCTTCTGTTGGGTCCATGGTACCCAGGAGCTAGAACGTGGGGGATGTGTTCGTTGTCTTCGTCGGAGGTGTGATCTTCGCTCATGCTGCCGGTTTCGTCTTTAACGGGGGAGCAAGATCTAGGGCTGTCCTTGTCGTCCAACAGGTCATTCTTGTCTTCCTTGGAGCCTGAGCAGGATCTTGGTTCATCATCACCCCCAGTTGACTCTTCCTTTGACGACACAAACGACTTCTCCTTCATCTGCGAATGATGCCGAGGCCGATAGTCAACCGCCGTTTGGTCACCGCCTGAATTGAAGAAGTGCGGGGGCACCCCACTACTAGAATGATAGCCGTAAACTTCAGGATACTGACGAGGATACGACCGATGATAAGACCCATTCGGGGGTCCAAAATAATCAGGGTTACCCCCAGGATGGGAGTAAGATATGTCCATGATTTGCCTCGCATCTGACATGTCTGCCCCGCCGAACGATGGTCCGGTGAAAACGGGTGCGTTGTGGTCGTAGCGGCAGCTACGATAGTCTGTCATCATCATCATGCTGACGTTGTTATCGCCGTCCGTCTGCGATAATCTCCCCGCGAATTAATCCCTATCGTCTGCTAATCTGTTAATCGTACCGTCTGCTCCTGATTGCAGACGTCTAGAGTGGAACTGTCGTCTGCTACTGAAACTTCTGCCGTCTGTCAACACTTGCTTACCAGTTCTCAGCCAAACCACGAGTCTTTAGGTGCTACGCCTATATCTACATATGTCGTGGAGATACAGTTTTTGATGCTTTGGAACCTGAGAGTGAAATTAAGTCACACATGGCAAAGTTTACCCATTAATTAGTCTCGGGCTCTGGGACCATGTTTCCATCAATTCACCACGCCCACGGGTTCCAGAACCAGCGCTGTCACGAATTTTTCGAAACAAAACGTGTCCAAATGTGTCAATACAGTCAGAGGTACATCTCTCCACTGGCTAACAAGTCAGACTAACACACACACAACTAAAACAAAGGTGTATCATTCACGTGCCTCACCGATCTGTTTTAATGAAGGGGTGTGAGCCAATGAGATGCCTTGCTGGGCCCATTCTTCCTTCCCAGTGCTTCTGATAGGCCGGCCGGTACATCAAACGCCTGTCCCCCTCCCGATAGACAGGGAAGGAGGGCAAAGGAAAGGTTTCCCTCCACTCAAACTGTTACCAGATGTGCCAAAGAGGCCCAATTTGCCTCGGAAGCGATACCACAGCCAATATTCAAAGTAATGGCGTGCATGAATCTACTTTTTCAGTCGTGATTACACGCTCGCTCAGATTACACATCTCATCCGGTGGAGAAATCGGGAGAGAAAGTCTGTGTTTTTGAGAATTACAACTTACTTTCCCAAAAGTTAGGGCTCCCTGCATCACTGAACGTTCAAAACCGTGGAAATGACTGCCATCTCGTGTCCCCAAGCCCTCTCCACACGGACCCACCCCACAAAGATCAAATTATTACCGTAATCGAGTTTCATGTAGCGATTAATTATATTCCATCTATTTCAAAGACGCCCGGATCATACATAAAACGAAAGCATGCATAAAACCCTCCTCTATGAACCATCGAAAGTGTTAGGAGGTGGGAAAAGGGTGCTGGCACATCTGGGTGAGAAAAACGTGTTGTTTTATGACATAATTACTGCAAAGATATTGTAATTGTTAATGTGCCATCAAACCATTAAATCAGCATTCTGTTTCTCTTATGAAAGGTTGGTGTCTTGGGTATTACTGACTCCTGGTAATGACTTCAATATGTTTTATTAATCATAAGTATTTTTTTGGTTATTTTATTAATGTGGAGTATTATTTACATGGGTTTGATTTGTGTTTAAGTTTGCGCGTAAGGTTTTGATAGAATACAATTACGCATGCAGTCTTACAAAGCTATTCCGTTCACCTATCGTTTTTATCCAAACGGTCTGAACGTTTATTTTGTTGTATTACTCCTTGAAGAAAAACCTGGCCAATTTATGTTTTGAGTTTTTTTAGCAACAGTGAAACTCTTAGTATAAGGACAAATTATAGCGCGAAGAATATCTTTAGTGTTTAAAGATGTATTTGTTGTCAACCTATTCAAGATATTCAGTGTAATTTATCAAATTATTATACTTTTGTTAGCTGGGTAATTAAGTTATTGTCATACATTTTCGTTCGTATGAACACAGATATTCTCCTTAACAAGATATCAAGATACAAAATACATATGTACCCGAAAAATTGGTCTGTCTCACAATGCCTGAACCACATTATTTTCCCTACTGCCTAGCCATCCCTGCTATGCTAAAGTCCTAAATGAAGCAAGTCTAGATTTCCCCAGGTTCAGGAATCTCCCAACTCACTTGAGCTCTTTTTCAATGTAAATGGGTTTATTTGTTACCATCAAAATTATATATATTCAAGGACTAAGCATTAGTCTACCGAAAAATATAAAACACGCCAGGAAACAGAACTAATGAATTAGTCAAAGCTAAAGGAGACCCGAGCTGTGTATCTTGGTGAGAGTAAAATATATCACAAAGTCATTATAAAACGCCATATCGAGTGCCCTTACTGTTGGATGAAATCTAGGAACAAAGTATCGTCGTGATCGTAACTGTATTGTATGACTTCTGAAAAAGTGAAACCCGAAAATACAACTGTTTGAAACGACCGATATGGCCATGAACAACTTACAGACACATAAAATTATTTCAGAATCCATCAAATGTAAAATGCTTAAAGTCCCTCCTTCGAATAATTTTGTAATATAAAGTGTGATACAAGATACTTGGTGGTGTTATAAGATAATTTTGAATGTCATATCTAATAAATATACATTGAATTTTGTTTTAAAACATTCTGCATGGATGCAATGTGACAAGACATTACTATATCGAAACACAAGTGGAATGTGATGTAAATTAAAAAATTAATGTATAACTTCTTAATAGTGGCGGTCCGATTAATTGGCCAAACGGCCAAGCAATCGATGACATTTTCTCATAATCGAACACAAACGATTTTGGAACCGCTGTAATAGAGTTTGAAATACTTGATGATGGAACATATCAGGGCCTGAAAACATGTTTATTTCTAAGAAAACTCACTTCACTTTCTGAAAAGTCATGACTGAATATTTCTTGAAGAATCTGGGAAGTTAATGTTACACTGGACCTGAATCATTTTACACTGGATGTGAAATCTGCAATTGTAATTTGTGCAGTTTCTAAAAAAAAAACAGAGAACCAAATGTTTTTTTCCTTTATACTTATCTGCAACTACAACCTGAATAGGAAAATCTAAAAAATGACGCTAACCAATTTTTTTTCGATGATTTGTCGTTGGTACTGAACCAATCATCATGCAATTGTGAGATTTCAATCAATTCCCAACACAACTTCCTAATGTATAAACATACTTCAGTATATGTGTAACGGATGGGTTTCAAGTCACGGTAGCTCCACAGCTGAAAATGACGATGCGTCGTTGGATTTCGGCTGATGGTTCTCAAAGCCAAGATTATATATTTAATAATCTACAAGCATGTTGCCATTGATACATAGGTTGAAATAATCTTTAAGGAAATACTAACACCTGGCCTCAGCAAGAATACTAAAACGAAGAAGCATTTAAGTATGACACGACCTGACATAACTCTCGTTCAAACGGTCCATAACTTTTCTTGAATGCTTTCAAAAATAATATATATGTCTTTGTTATATCTTTGTTTTGTTTTTGGTTTTTTGTTGTTTACTCTCTATGTGTCGGGGTAGCCCAGTTGTTAAAGCGTCAAGACGAAGACCCGAGTTCGATTTTTCCTCATGAGTACAATGTACCCTGTCGTGATATTGCTGGAGTATTGCTAAAAGCGACGTTAAACCTCATTCACTCTTGTTCTTGAGCTGTAAATTATCGTTTCTGCAGAGAATTTTCATATTGCGATATATTGCGATACGGAAGCATATATTGCGATATGTATTGCAATATATTGCAAGGATTATTTTTTTTAACAAAAACTACTTATAATCGAGTTAATGCTTGATTATAAAGCAAAAACACAACAACATCACTATGATTTATTAACCTTTATAAAAACTCTTAATCATGACAAAATAAAAATGTAAGTAACATTTGGCACTAATGAAACAGGGAAAAGAACAATTAAAAAAACGGAAATATCCGAAGATTTCCGAGTGTTACGAAGTTTTCCGAATGCATGTCAAAATACCGGTTTTCGATCAGCGTATCGCAATACGTATCGTTTTCATGTCTGAACCGGTAAATACCGGTAAACCGGTTATATTGCGCAGCCCTACTGGACACTGCAATTGAAATTCTGCTTTGGCTATTGTTGTCTTGTGTACACAGATATACAGCATTAATCTTTATGTTATTGTTTGTTAATGTCATTGTGAGCACCGCAGGTAAACAATGACCAACATAAATACCAAAGTTCCGGAAGTAGTCAGAGTGTTAATTAATCGATGGAAAACTGAGAAACATGCTTCATGTCATTAGAACCACAACTGTGTAATGTTTAGCGTACAGTTAGCATTTAAAAGATAATCCTACACATGCGACCTGACTCTATATCTCCTAACTGTTACCTTTTGTTGAGTAAGTGATTTAAACAGTTTTTTAGTTATTCTTTAGCGTGTCAGTTTGTGGGCGGAATATAGGTGACACGCACGAGAATGGCGCTGGTAAACCTCAGGGATAACCGAGATTCGAACCAAAGATCGTAAGTGTCGAAGGGACGCAACTCTGCTTAGCGACTTGTGAAGCCATAGACAACTGGGCCACCTCAACACACTTTATGTTCAGTACCTCTGTTGTTAAAGTTTCAGATTGGAAGAAGATGAAAACAAGAACCCTTATCGCGCTCAAACGTACCTGTACAAGGATTCATTTAGTCTAAGTTTTTGAAAACCCTTACTATTTGGTTAGCACTTACAAGAAAATACATCTTGTAAATGCATGTATATACATCTGTATAACCAGAGAAGGACACGGCGCAATTATATGACATTTGGGCAGGAGAAAGTATGCACGTGGTAGTTGGAGACATTACAAGGCTGAACACAGCCTACAACACTGCACAAAATAGCTGTGATACTCTCGGTAATAATACACCATCAAACAAAGATTATTTTTTTTGGTGTGTGTGTGTGTGTGTGTGTGTGTGTGTGTGTGTGTGTGTGTGTTTTCATTTGCCCACCAGTATATTTGGGGTGTCATAATATTAGCATACGTTCCCCTTATACACATATATACTGCACGCCATGCGAGTCAAGAGCCCTTCCCCTCACATATGTTCCCTTACTTTAAGGCCTCAGTATATTTATGACAGTCCTTCAATACAGCATTACCAATGTAAGACGCACGGATCCACGTCATTATCTTTTACCGATCTTCTAGTATGTACACCACACATTTAACCCTGTATGGCTCTCCAGGTTACACAGGTGTAGATGTATGTCCCCAACAGTCTATGCTTGTCGCAAAATGAGTTTTTGTGGATTGGGTGGTCAGGCTTGGTGACTTTGTTGCTGGCGTATAATCGTATCCCTGTCTTTGCTCACAGCATCAATCATTGGTATCTATGGTCACAGTTCGATTATTTACACCCGTGAAGGTCCGGGTTAGAATACTGATCTTCAGTAGCCCATGGTTGTCGTAAAAGGCGACTATAGTCTGCTTGCAGTGAAAACGTACCGATGAATTTCACTTTAAACAAAATCAAAATGTAAATCAAATAAAGTGAAATTAGAAGTGCGAATCCTCATTATTTTACCTTGCCAATTGAACATTTAAATCTCAGATTTTTATTCAACTTAGGTTAAAGTTTTTTTAACAAACGATCATAGTTTCAAATCGCTGTTATTGGTTTGTATTACAAGGGGGGTATGCACATTAAATGAAACACCGAGAACAAGTTGGGTTGGTCTAAGTTAACGCTCATCACGTACTGCACGTGCATTTGTATCACTGTTTCAATTACTGCGTTTA